GAACCACTGAGCTAAATCCCCAGCCCCTAGATTTTTTTTTTTTTTTTTTGGTACTGGGGATTGAACTCGGGTCCTTACCCTTGCACAGCAGGTGGCGAAACCACTGAACTAAATCCCTGATCCCTAGATTACTTTTTTAAAGCAAATTAGGAACACTAACCTTCTGTGTAAGGTATTATTTTCAAGAAAAGGGTTAAAGTCTATTTTAAATATCCTTCCTCTCTACATAAGTAATTTATTTTAAGATCTAAGAGTTATGATAAGAATCTTCAGTGTTTCGAGTCCATTAGGAAATGCTGCTCTAAATTCTTAGAAGAATCTTTAAGGCTGGTTTAGAGGACAGTATGTGTCCTCCAGGGGGCACTGAACTTCTGCACCTTTCAGTTATTTTCAGTATAGTCTCTGATTCTTAGTGTGCACCATAAACTGTAGTAGCAGTGGCTCCTCTGGGAATAACCCAGATAATTTTCTGGCTAAGCTGGAGTGGGGTCTATTTTAATATAAATCCTTGATTTGCACTTTAAATGTAATTCTCATGTAGACCTTAAGGATTTGGATTTGGGATTCCAGTACTTTCTCCACCTTCTCTGTGGTTCCTTATCATCCTTACAAGCCCATCACAGAGAGTGTGAGAGACTCTGAAAAGTTGTGGCCAAGGGTAGGGTCCAGCCCAGCTTTTAGGAGCCAGCTTTGTGTGCTCCTAAGGCAGGTCAGGTAAGCTGGGAACAAGTCTTCAACAAAGCTGCTCAGGCTCTCCATCACAGCTCATATAGAACTCAGCCAAACAGTGTGAAGGGAGCCTTTCTTCACAAACTGTGACTTGAGCAGGTGATGGCTGAGTGTCTGCACTTGACCTAGTACCTGTTGGGAACAGGAGTTAATGTGAGTTCAGACATTTTAGAAACGGAATTAAGAAAGGACAAGAAAAGTAGATGTCAGGAGGAACATGCTAATTCGATTTTCCATTTGTAATACATCTTTTAATGGGAGATTTTTATTAGTTTGGTAATGAGTTAGTTTACTTTTAAGGATTTATATTTTGTGGTAAAATGTCATTTTATTCTCATGCTCAGATACCAAGGTATAAAGGACAAGGTAAGAAGAAGACAAGCGGGCAGAAGTCTGGTGACAAGGTAACATGCATGAAGGCAAAGGAGAAAAGCAGCCTGTGCCAAGACAGATTCCTCGATACATGGGCCTCCTGCCGGCCTGAGTTTTAGGTTTTCTTTTGAAATGTTCCTGTCATCTAACCATCATCAGAACATGAGAAAGCCATGCTGGCATAAAACTAAAAGTAATTTGTCAGTTTTATCCAGGTGAAAACCATATTGTTGTATTCTAAAATTATGCTTTCCGTTAAATTTTGAAAATTCCTGTTTTACTGACAGTGAAAAAGATTTGAAAATATTTTCCTTTTGAAAGGATGATGTTGTACATGTTATCAACATTATGATTTTTATCTGAAGAAAATTGAACCTCAAATTACTTCTTTGGGCAAGTTTCAGTTGGTAAAGACTACACTTAGTTTCCTTGCAGACGTTTTTATTTGTGTTCTACTGCTCTCCAGACCATTGCACCTCGTTGACCCTCAGGCACTTCCTCACAGCAGACTGGAAGGGCCAGTCCTGCACAGTGGTCAGGGCTGTGGCTGCTTTTTTTTCCTCCCCTAAACATCACAAAAATGAACTAAGCCAGTAGATTAGCTGCTTATGAAATTTTACTATTAGAGATCTTAAAAACATTATCAGTACAGTTTTTATATCTTCATAGAATAAGACAAAATGATTTACTTTTCATTTCTAAGATTCACTAGTTCTGTGTTGGCTTATATATTTTCCACTAAGTTGAACACTTCCAAAATTAAAAGCTTTTAAAATATTGTATTTGCTATATTAACTGACTTTAGTTCCCATGGTTTCAAAGGTGAATTCTATTACTGTATTCTCCTTTTGTTCACACTGTTCTTTATGCATTGTTAGATGAGAAGATGTTATATTACCCAATAAGTATTTTTGGAACATTTACATAGTGGAAGTCATTATGTTAATGCCGTGGGCAAGACATATTTAACAGTCCTCACTTAAGCAGTTCACAGTCTGACTGAAGAGGTGAGACAACATTAAAAACAATAAATAAGAATCTAAAACTTCTTTTAGATTCTTTAATCAGTTTTTTTTGAGGTTTTTGAAAGTTAAAAGCGTATTTCATAGTGTTTTTATAATATTACTGGTATTATAGGTTTTAAAGATGTTGAAACGTTTTGAATAAGTTTATACATGAAACCAAAGCATACTAAGAAGAATGGTTTTCACTTTGGGTAATGTGTGATGGGTCCAGACTTTAGCTTTCACTTGGGCAGCACTTCACGTGTCTCCCTAGCTTGAGGGGATGGGGTGCTGGAAGAATCTGGAGGGGTCCATGTCCCAGAGATTAGGCTATATGTTGGGAGCCCCTTGTGTTTTCACTGTTGTGTTCCTGAGCCCAGGCTACTTCCTTAATCACTTTGAAAAATTTATTTCTCTACTCTCCTGTTCTTGTTTCTGAAATGCTTTTGTAAGAATTCTGTATTATGTCCATCATTGCCTGTTTCCAACCTGAGATGAATAAGCCCTTACCTTTTCATCCCTCTGCTTTTCTGCTTTGCTATCTGCATGCCATAGGTTCCCAGCATTCTTAACATCCTTAACGTTGTTATCCAGATGCCAAGTTGCATGTGGCAGTTGAGGTTGTACCCCCCAGGACTCCAGAGGGAGATGTTCATAGGGTAGATGGCATTTACAACTTGTGTGAAGATGTGGTATCCCCACCTTTGTGACTTGCAGATGTAGACCGGGCATGCTGTGACAGGGTGTATAGTGGCGATGCTGGCCTTGGAGCTCTGGAGCCCTGAGCCGGGGCTGTGGATGTGTCTTCCTACCTTTGAATATAGGAAGGAACAAGTATTAATGGCTTACTCAGAGAATCTAGCAGTTTCTTCAAGGAAGCTGTAGTTGTACTAGAAATAAAAAGTCATTTATAGATATGTAAGGAAAAAAATATATATGAAACACAAAACTTATATAACTGATTTGTAAGGTGTTTGAACTAATTTAACTTGGGTAAAATTAAGAGGTCTTGCTTTTGTTGTTGTTCAAAGACAAAGAGTAGATAGAAGATTTGGAATACAAGGAGAATAAATATTAAATGGTACCACAAGTTTGAGGCCAGCCTGGGGCTACACAGTGAGTTCAAGGCCAGCCTAAACTACACAGCCAGACCTTATCTCAAACAAAAAAGCAAATTGAGAAATACATATGGACATTTACTTCCAAAGTATCATCTGTAGTATCTATTTTATTTTGTTTTACAAACATTGTCCTAGTTGTCTGAAAAAAAAATCAGTATAAAAGAGTTACAACGGACTTTTATTAGGTTCTACCATTTAGTTGCGCAAATTGAGTAAGATATTAATTTTTATCTTTAATACTTAGAATTGGTTGCTTTTTATGATGGTCAGCCTTTTAGTTTTTAGGTGATTTACAGTGAATGTATATTAAGGTACTTTTTGCTTTAAATTCTTAAAAATGTGACATTTCTTAATTTGTTTTTTCTACTTTTCAAAACTGTAGAATAAGCCCAACTTTCTGCTGATCACTGATAGTGATGGTGATTCCATCATGCATGCACTTCAGGCCATGCATGTGTGTGTCTTTGGCAGTCAACTCAGGGTCCCCATCAGCCCTCATTGTCATCCCCTACCCTCTACCCCCACCCCACCCCACCCCATACAGTCCTGGGTAAATGGGCTGGTGGGAGGGTGGATGTTCTGGCACTGGTAGTCCAGCCTGCCCAGCTCCAAGACCCTGCCTCCTGAGCCTCTAGGCTCAACCTCTTAGCCTGCTGTCAGCTGATCCTTTGAGCTATGATGGGTGGAGAGGAGGGCAGAGGATGTAGGGTGCATAGACAGCTGTGCAGAGGGCTGTCCTCGTGGCTTGTCATGGAGTCCAAAGACCAGGGCTCCAGAATGCCTGTGGAAATTAGATTTTTTATGGACTGTAGGGAGAGGGCGTGTCTATAAACACTGCGTTTCTAGAGAGATTGACATGGGTTTTTTTTTTTGAGGGGGTTCTAAACTCTACAGTATTTGGTTTTCTATGTGGGATGAAACTAGGGCCTTCACCCTAAGCTGGATCCCCAGCCCTTTTTGAGACAGAGTCTTGCTAAGTTGCCCAGGCTGGGCTCGAACTTGTGATTCTCCTACCTCAGCCTCCCAGAGTATTGGGATTATAGGGATGTGCCACCACATCAGGTACTAATTAAACTTTTTAAATATGTGTGTTTGTTACAGTTGTAGGAAAATTACTTCTCTTAATATTTCAATAGTAGATCATGGATCAGAAACTATCTTTGGCAGGGTGAGGGAAAGAGGCTAAATGGGGAAGAGAATTAAATAATGCCCAAAGCTTTTGAATACTTTTGCACACCTGAAGAATGTGTTTGACTTTGATATTTTTCCTGTTATGGACAGGGCAGATTAGCCTTTACTTTGGAAAATCAAAATTCTTTTATCCAGGTCTGTAAGACATTCTTGTGATAATGCAGTTTTGGGCTACTGCAAAATTAATAGTGCTTTTCACTATAAAACTTCTCTCTGATGCTGATAAGTAATTTAAAAATGATTAAATTCTTGATTATGTAAGTGTTCTATTGGAAAACTAAGTACTTAGTAAAACTTTTAAGACTTGATTGTGATTTACTATAAAGCTTATTAGTCTTGAGCTCTATCCAAGGGAATAGAATGGCTTTTGTAGTGCTGTGCAGATCTCTCACTTTTGTGAAAAGACAAAACTTTAGTAGTTATTAGAAATAGCTATTAGTTTCCTAGGGTTACTGTAATAAAGTAGAAATTGAGAGACTTAAAACAACAAAAGTCTTGCCATTTCACGGTTTGGAAGCGGGTCTTGCTTTCTGTCCTGGCGTCTGGGGTGGCCTGTAAACCTAGGTGTTCTGTGACTGTGGATGGATAACTCCAGGCTCTGCCTTCATCTTCACTTGGTGGTTCTCTGTGTTTCTGTTCTTCTCCCCTTTTTTTGAGGGCAGAGGGCTTTGGGCATGCTAAGTACATACTGAGCTGCACCCTAGTCCTCTTCTAAGGATACCAGTCATATTGGTCTAGGACCCACCCCACTCCAATATAGCCACTTTTTAATAGATCTGCTTTTCCCATGTATGGTCACACTTTGATGTTCCAGGAGTGAGGACTTCAACAAATCTCTCTTGGGTGACAAATTTCAGTCCATAGCAACCTCTGAAGTTGTTCAAGGAATGAATTCTAAGGCACTGAGTTGTATTTCTTGGTTTTGAACAATATGTGTAACATTAGCTGTTTAGTTTCATCTTAAATCATAACTTCATTTTATTCAAATTTAGATGATAGGAAATCCAAGTAATTGGAGTTTATGTGTATAAAATAATGGCTTGTCCTAAGCCAAGATAAAGGTTTTTAAACAAGTTCTAGCACATACATATGTGAATATAGATTTTCTCCATTGAAACTGCTCCAAAATTTTAATAGTACTTTTGATTTAATCTCTCTGAGATGTTTTGATGGTAAATCTATCTGCTTTTATTATGGATTTTTCTAATAGTAAAAGTTATTTGTAATTAAGTTTAGTGGGTTCATTGTTAACACATTTGTGGAATGGCTTTTTTGGTGAAAAATGAGCTACAGTTATAAAATACATGTCCAAGTGGTTTAGAAATTGATTTTGAGAGCAATTGTAGAGCAAATTGTTTTTAAGGCTTGTTTTTATTCCAAAGATAAAAGAACTGTATATTGAGAACAAAATAATTATTTTTAAAAATATGTATTGGTGTAACATAATATCTTTCTCCATGAAATTTGTCTTTCAAAACTGGTCCTTCTACCCATCGCAGGGATATTGCTAAAACCAATCAAAAAATAATCATGGGTGCATAGTAGTTATAAAGCATAGATGTAGATAGTTCATAATGTGGACTAAGGTTATATTGATAATGTGAATGAAAGAAGACCGAATACTGGAATAACTACTATTTCTTGTGATATTGCTTTACATTCCCATTCAGATTCTTCATGCCACTTACCATTTTGAGCTTTCTCAGGAATGTTCCAAAGGAGAGAGTGACTCTCTCAGTCTGTAATTGTACCACAAGACTTTGGGGTATTTATCTGTAATGCCTTTGCAAAAATAAAAATTAGTTATTGTAATATTTAATGAACCTAATTAAGAAATATATAAGTTCATGATACTTTTCCATATTTGATAATACAGAAAAACTTCAAGAAAGTTTGTAGGCTTTTTAAAAAAATTTCCACTTCTTTGAAAATATCCTGTATTATCTAAAAGGGTAATTGGTATATATTTTTCCAGATATGTCTTTATGATCATTAATTTATCTGTATTAATAGTACATGGATGAGATAGTTAGTTCCATGCAAGGTTCTAAAATTTATATAGCTTTGCCTTGCCTCTGTCCTAGTCTAGGCCTCTGAGTAGTGTAAAAATGCAGATATGTATCTTCAGACAGGTCCTGTACATGCTGTTTGTAAACAGGGAAAGCATAACAGTCCCCTGAGTGTCTTGTACATTATATCTAACCCATACTCTACCACCCTGCCTCAATATACTACATTTAACTGTTCCCTTGCTGCCCATCCCTTGTGTCTCAACTCCTAGTTATAATTTGTTTCTAAAAATGCTAACCCAGTTTTAAGTTTTGAGGAAAATCATGCTTAGGAAAATTATTGAAGATTGTACAGTTAATAGTCAAGTGCAAACTGTACTGTTTCCTTATTTCAGATTAGTGTGTTTACTAGAGCATCATCACAGAGGTCTTACACAATACTGTTCCTTTTAGTATGAAAGTCTGAATCTTTGGAAATTGCAACTTTTCACCCACATAATACACAATTTTGTATAATTCAACCTAATAGCAAAATTATATAAATATTGAGAGCTAACCTCTTTTTGTTGACTTTACCACTTAACTACCTGAGGACTTTGACAAATAGCATAAATTATTCCTATGTTTCTTTTTTCATATCCACAGAAAAAATAACCCAACATCAAGGCTACAGGCTTATTTTTAAGATTAAATAAAGCATCATCTGTAAAGCATTTGAATGTCCTCCGTAATTGTTTGCTGCTATTATTTCACTAGCAATTTTCTGTTGTTCCTATTGATATAGACATGTCTAAAAGCAAAAGAGACAGCTGACCAAACAAAAATAAAATTAGGCTCTGATGGTTAGGACTAACTAGAAACAAGAAAATACAGTGTGCTATTTTGTACATACCTCACCATGTTTCGCTAGGGCATGAGTAAGAATGCTTGAAAATTTTTTACCTTGGTTGAAGACATGCAGAGAGATATAAATACCTGCCTATGGACACTGAGTGAGGTGCAGGTTGGTGAGATGTTCTGCAAGTCTGAATTAAGACCATTATAACCAGCATATTTTACATTAGAAAGATGTGCATTTGAAGGCCGTATATTTCACCTCAGTGGCTGTTGTATTTGGTACTGAATGGAAAACTGCTATTTGTTTCTGATGAATAGTGATTGGTGCTCTCATGTGACACATTCTGCCTTTTGTCTTTTAATTGTATTTGGATATTGGAAATGTATTGATTTAACATATTTTAAGGAGCAATGGCACACATATGGGAGGAAATGGAGCAGTTGTTTATAATAGAGAAAGCTGTTTATAGGTAGGATAGGCATAGTAAAGATATTTCTATTTAAGGACAGAGGAAGGAAATGTAAACATATTTCTTTAACATATTTTCCCTTCTAAAGTTGGCCATGCTAGGAAGCCTGAGGATTAGAGTGGTAAATCATGGGGTTACGATTCAGTTCATAGTGTTCCAAGGTGATGTACACCCCCACACACAAATTTGCCTGTGTTCACTCAACTTCTTTGTTATTTAAAACATCTTAAAAGTTTTCTCACCAAGCTCTATTCTCTCTCCCTCTTTCCAGAAGGCCAACAGTGAGGCTAGTCAAAGTGATACAGCTATCTCTTCATCAGAACCAAAGAGCAAAAGCAGCCTGCACTCACTAACGCATGAAACAAAAATTGGATCTTTTTTAAGCACCCCCACTTTAGATGTCAGTGAAAAAGCTGGCCTTTGTCCAGATGAAGATGATATGGAAGGAGATTCTTTCTTTGATGATCCCATTCCTAAACCAGAAAAAACTTATGGTTGGTGAGTAGATTGTTCTTGGATAAACAGACTAGAAGTTAAAAAATATAATTTCTGTTTTTATTTTATATGTAAAATGTAAAGACCTAATGGTTCTGTATTATTGAATCTGTAAGTCTGATTTTGTGTCATTAAAGCCTGTTAGGTTGTAAAACAGTTCCAAGTTTTTAAATAATCCTGGTATGGCTGATTTCATGAGATAAAGTCTATAGTGTCTGCCTGCTATGTGCCAGGGACTATTTTGGGGACAGAATGCCACAGTGACTGAAGGGCAAAACTGCCATCAGGAAGCTCACTTCAGGATGAAGTCAGAAAGTCAATGAGAATGACAGTAACAGTGTGTTGGAGCTGGAAGCAGGACCCTAACATGGAGCAGGAGCTTGTAGGGGTGTGTATTTCAGAAGCATGTCCGGGAAGGCTTCACTTGTGCCACTTCATTGGGGAGGGTGCTGAGCTAAGAGCACCAGCGGCAACAGTAATCCACATTGTGTCTGGGTTTTTAGGGCTCTCCAAAGAGGAGACAGCAAATGTGAATGTATCTTACGGGCCAGAGGACAGCAAGAAAGAAAGAGGGAGGGGGCTTGTATGAGATGAACCCAGAGATGAGGGGCTGAAACCAGAAGCCATGGGGATCTTCTGTATCCAGCATATGACACAGAAGGGTCCCTGGCTGGTGAGCAAGGTGAATGCAGGGTTTCTAGGTAGGAAGGCTCTTAGACTTATTCAGAGAGATAGTGGTGGCAGTGATGAGAAATAGGTGGTGTTTTGAAATATCTTCAGGTTAGATTTAAAAGGATTTTCTGATGGTTCTTTGACTGAATAACTGAGAGATTAAGGTGAAGAGTGGGAAGACTAGGGTAGTGTGAAAGCGTAGAGCTGTGACATGTTATGTGTGAGAAAACTTGGTGGGATGAGCATTAGGCTGTTGGATCTGGAAGTCTGGAATTTAAAGAGAGTGGTCTGGGCTGGAGATATGAATAAAAGATTTATCAGTTATCAGTAACATTACAGACGGGAGACAAGGAGGTCATGAAAATGGGCCCTGCAGCACCTTGAGCTGAGCAGGAAGGAGGAGGGAGACAGAAACAGGAGATGGCATGTCCTTGCAGGAAGTGGCAAGAGGGAGCAGCTACCTTAACATCTGCTGAAAGTAAGCCGCTGGATTTAGCCACATTGAGGTCACTAATGACCTTGACAGTTTTGCTGGAATGGAGTGGGAGCAGTTAAAGGATTAGAGTGGATTTAGGAAGGAGTGAGAGGTAAGGATTGTCTATAATAAATGATTTTCTGATGAGTTATGCAGAGGTACAGAGAATTGAGGTAGTGGCTGAAAGAGTGGGTTATGGGCCCAAAAACCTGTGAGAGTGGAAGAAATAACATGTGTGTTGCTGATAAGAACACTCTGGTTTCAAAGATGAGAAAAAGTAAGGAGTAAGGATAGATTCCTGGCCTGGTGGAATTCTCTGCCCAGGGGAGTTGTCCTTGCCAGAAGAATGGAGAGCTGGGTACATTTGTAGGCGGGAGTGGGCCAGATGGTTGTACCCAGTTCACTTGTATGAGTTTCCTGTGAGTGAGGATGGCGGGGGAGCAATGGAGATTTGAGGTAGAGAAGGTAAAATTTTTGTAGAAAAAGGAAAGAGAAGTTAGGCATGGTGGCACATTCCTGTAATCCCAGCCTGCTGGGAGGTGAAGTAGGATGATTCCAAGTTTGAGCCCAGCTTGGGCAACTTAGTGAGACAGTCTCAAAAAAAAAAAAAGAACAGAAAAGGGCTAGGGATGTAGCTCAGTGAGAAGGTCTCAGGTTCAATCACTAGTACTGCAAAAAAGAAAGTAAGGAGTGAATGAACCGACGAGTGTATAGGGTTGTAGGGGAGTGTTTAACCATCTCCTTGAGGCTAGTGCTCATGAGTTGAACAGGCTTTGTGGTTTTCTAAACAGTACTTACAAGTGTGTCTGAGAGGTAGTGCTTATTTGCTAGTTGACTCCTATATTGTCTCTTGATTGTGTTTTGGGGTCTTGAATAAGGGCTTCTCAAAGAAGTCATAGACAAGGAGTATGTTAAGCAAGGTCAACTTAACTAGTAAGATATGAAACAGTCGAAAAAGAGGTAAATTGATTTATTGACAAACTTTGCTGCATGGATTTGTGATAATCAATAATCTGCATTACTTATGGGTATATTTTTTTATTTTGAATCTATAAAATGTATTCTTTGTTTCTGGCCACTGTATGCATATAAAGTATTTTAAATTGCTTTTGTTCTAATAACAGAATAAAACCTTTAGTGCCAGAATCTAAGATTACCATGTAATTGTCACTTGCTTCCTGTTAGGAGAAGTGAACCTAGGAAGCAAGCAGGAAGTCTGGCCTCACTTTCAGATGCTCCCCCCTTAAAGAGTGGACTCACCTCTCTGGCAGGAGCCCCCTCATTAAAAGATCCTGAGAGTAAGTGGCCTGAAAATGGCAGCTTAAGTATTCGTGGTATTTTTCTCTAAGTAGTAGATGATTCTTACTTTTTTTTTGTTCAGGGAAATGATAAAAATAATCTAATTTTATTGTTCAGATATTTCTTGTTAATATTTTATATTTTAAATTTCTTTTTAATGTCATATTCTCTGTTGTTTTATATTTTGCCTTTTCCTGTGCCATAAGAAAACTTTTAGGATATTGACTTTTTAGCTGATTTTTATTATCTATAGATATATTTATTATACATGTAGTGCCCAACTTACGATGGTTTGACTTAAGAGTTTTCAACTTTATGCATTTTTGATATGCACTTGATAGAAACCATATTTTGAGCTTTGATTTTTCTCCCTGGCTAGCAGTATGCATGATCTCTTGTGATGCTGTAGCAGAGAGAAGCACAGCTCCTGGTCAGCCATAGGGTCAGGAAGGGAACAAATGATACTCTACAGGGTGCTGTGTTGCTAAGCTGTGATATTTAGTAGCTTAGGGTTATTAAATGCATTTTTTATCTATAATGCTTTCAAGTTATGATTGGTTTATTGGATGTAAGCTCCCTATAAGTCAAGGAACATCTTTAATTTTTCAACTAACTCTTTTTGAACGTTTAAAATGACATGATTCAGGGGCCAGGACTTTAGCTCAGTGGTTTCACTGCCTGCTGCACAAGTGCAAGTCCCCGAGTTCAATCTCCGGTACCAATAAATAAATAAATAAATAAATAAATAAATAAAATGACTTGATTCAGGTTTAAATTCAGTTAATTTTTAAAAAATTTGTTCTACGATACCATGGTAATGATTGTAATATTGGGCCACAGATTTAGCTCAGTGCGTCTGCCACCTGCCTCGCAAGCACAAGGTCCCAAGTTCAATCCCAGGTACCAAAAAAACCCAACAAAATTAAAGAGAGGTGGATTCTAGGCCGCTATACCACCGCTCCCAGCGCAGGTACCAGCACCACCCCCACCCCCACCCCCAAACCCCCAGTCGAAATGAGAAGACACATAAACAAGTCTCAAAAACAGCTTTCCAGATCACCTACAGCAACCCCAAAGGGAAAAGAGATGGAACACCCTGATGCTTAACCACCTGGACTCCCTGAATTGGCAACAAAAGAGGATCAGGAAAAAATGAAATCAGAAATAATTTTTCAGATAACACCAGAGATTGTGCTCATAGTGTAAGACATGATTAATAAATCTAGAGAGGAGCTGA